TAAAAATATACATGCCTTTCAAAATGAAAGCTGAAAAGATTTCCTTTCTATTCAGATGTCATATATTTGGGTGAACTAGTATTGTTCTATCCTGAATAAACTTCGGTTTCATCAAAAAGTGAAACACAGGTATTTTGCACTCCGTAAACTTTATTTTTTTGGACCGTATCAAAAGGAAACAACGCTAACATTTCAGTTTTCATCTGAGATTTTGTAAGCTCGAAAAAACTCTCGATGAAAAAAGGATAATCAATGATAGGCGGTTATACCCACTGGGAAAATATAAAGCTACAAATTGTTCATTTTTTCTGCATGAATGACATGGTCACTTCCCAAGACCAGCTCTAAATTTTCTGCTAAGTTAATCGAATGCGTCCGGCTGTTTTTATGTGGACATTGTCTTATTGCTTAAATGCATTTGGTGCGCACTTTCTGCAGCTCTACCGCAAAAACGAGTACGGTGACCCCCATTTTTTATTTCATGATTTTAATAAGGACAGTGCTTCCTTTCGGTGAGAAAAAAATTGGCACAAATCTATGTTCAGTTTTTTGGCAATTTTACTAAATTGTACGGATTGAGCTATCACGTGTCGAATAGCGCGTGTCCAATTTAATTCTACTTTGGAGCGTAAAATAAAAACAACGGCATTAAAAGGCAATTTTATGGTACGTAAGTGGATAAACAATGCATTAAAGTCAAATTCTGTGCGATACCACATGCATCATTGAAAAAATCTTTCCTTTTTGTCTAGTTTTGAGCTACGAGCAGTTTTTGTCAAAGGGTCCAAAATAGCCGTATTTGTCAGCATTGTGACGTCAAAACGAGCACGGTGACCCCCACTTTTTATTACTTTTTTATCATCTTCTTGACTTGTTACATCAGTGTACCAAGTTTCATCTACAATCTATGATGGGTTCTTTTACTAGGGAATCACCTTAAAAAATTGTACTGGTGCATCAATAAACCTGCGAAGGACTTATCAGGCTCTTTGGATAACCGTTCAAACTCCAAATAACACTTTTTGTCATTCCAAAAGATGTCATGAGATACTGTTTCCTAAAATACTTATCTTGTGGCTTCATGTTTTCTTGTTAGCATGAGTTTTGCAAGGTTTCCTGACCAACAAATCGAAACAAATGTTTTGTGGTCAGGATGACTAAAACACGTCATGGTTCATGAAATAAAACTGTCCTATTACGTTCTGCCCTCTTCATCACATGATTATACAAGGGTTATTTATTTGGTTGATCCCTTTTTCATATCATCATATCAAGCAGTTCATACTAGTTAAGTGCCTACAGTCCACCTATTCTCTTAAAATCCGTAGTGTTGTTTACCCTGCGAGCACGTGTCAAAAAAGGTTACAGTTCTTGGGATTACGTTAAAGTCGTCGTTTCTCGCGGCTTGTGGCGTAGCCACTTGCCGCTCGCGTTTATTTGTTGGGCATGCTACACCAATACCTTTAAAAAGAAGAATTATACGCAGCTTGCGGCCCTTGCAGTCTAGGCTGATCGAGTGGAATCCAGGAGGTCGTTCTTCATTGCGAATACAGGTAAGCTATACTAATGACATACTTGACGGAATGTTGTTTTGCCGTCTTTGTTATTGTGAATTTCAGTAGAAAAACAACCGATCATGGTTTCCATATTTTTTTTGTCTTTTATGTGAGCAAGGATAAAAAAGGCTGCGCAGGATATTCCGCTAAAATATGTGGTTGAGCTAAATGGTTTTAATTCTAAGTCATTTCCCGTTCTACTCCTGATTTAATAGTCAAAGTGGAAAAAGCTATCAAAATATATTTTTGTACGTTATATTTTCTTCCCTTGGGCACATTTGCCTTTTGATTGCTTCCGTATTCCTTTTTTATGGCTCTCACAACCCCTTTTCTTTCTCCACAGAAATAAAGGTCGTCAAACTCGTGCTGTAAGAGGCGATTAATTCTCGTTTAAATTATGACGTACAAACGAAACTTGGATTGTCGAATTTAAGGTTCCGCTCTCTCCAGTTTTTTATTGCAGTGAACAAAAGTTAACCATTTGAAAAATAAATTTCAGCGAAAACAAAGCACCGATGTAAGACAAATCCTGGACAAAGAAGCGACTAACAGCCGTTGGTAATCGAACCAACCAACATGTGGAACCGGAAAAAAACTCAAGTCGATCTTATTAGCCGAGAATGAAAAACCAAAAATACCGCACTTAACTCCTTTGGAATCCTTTATTAACTATATTACGTTTTATTATTTAGTCCTACGTATTCTCAGTCTCTACCCCCGCCCCCCCCCCCCCAACCCCTCTAGGGCCCAGTTTATAGGTTGTGCGCTTCTCGGAAGCTGCCCGATGGTGGTGGGAGGTTTTTTCTTATCTAGCGGAGACTAAAGCCCAGTTGATACGTGAATCTTTTTTAATTTAACATCTAATGAATCCGATGATAAACTAAACACAATTTTGAAGAATTGCTGCGTGATGATAAAGTTCAAACAACTTTATTTTCTTGATCCAAGCATTCGTGGTTTCATGATCATGGCGGAGAGTGAAATCAAAGCAGAAAGTGAGAGTGATGTCACATCACCCAGTGAACAAGGACTGGACTTTGATGAAGAGACTTTGAAAGGTAAGAATTCTTACAACTGTTAATATAACGGTTTATTACCAACGGACCAAGGGAAAAAAGCAAAATTTTTGACGACAAAAAAAGTAAACAAAATAAGGCAGCAAAATGAAAAAGATACATTTCATTTCATGGTCAACGCTGCTACAACGAAAGAACAGAAATTGAATCTCAAAGAAAGGTGTGGACTAATAAAGTAAGATGACTGATGAACAATAGGAAGCTTAAGTAACGACGAAGGCGACGTCAACGAGAGCGGCAAAACAGCAATAGATTTAGATTGGCAAAAGAACAACTCTGCACGTGCATCACGCTTTTTTGTACATTTCTTTTCCGCTACTGCATGACTACGACGTGAACTGGGTGCCTATTTTTACGTACTGTGGAGGACGTGAACACAAAAGAAAGACCATGTTTTTCTTTTCTTGAAGTTCGTTACACTCTTTTAGAATTCAACTCCAGAAAAAATTGCCAGCATTTGACGAATTGAACGAGATGGAATAAGTGCAATGAAGTCAGGCTTCACTTTGTCAGTGACTTTTTTGTAGCCCTTGCCGTCGTCGTTGCTTAAGGTCCTTCAAGGAAAAAAGGAATTACGTAAGAACGGGAAAACCTTAAAGAGATTTTGATGGACTTTTTGTTGGATTGTTCTAAAATAGTGACTTTAATGGATGATTCTGGTTGGAAGCCTCGTGTTTTATTCATTTCTTTTTTCCCAAAAATCTAGCCAATATTTCATTCATAGAAAACTGACACAATTAGGTTGCAGTCATCGGTTCAATAAATGTTAAAGAAAGTTTTGGATGACTTTTCGAACGTTTTCAATGATTAAAAATGAGGAGGAATATTTGAAATTATTGTTGAACTTAAAGTGAAAAACTACAGTAAAAAGACAAAGACCAGATAGTTAACCAGTACGAGAAGGTGCCTCTGAACTGGCATTAGCGGACTAACTGGTTTAAGCATGTACATTTGCCCAACCTTTTTTTAATTTCCAGTTCAACCCGATTTCACCCAAAACGCAACGCGTAGAGCGTTCCCATTTTCCTCTTTGGCAGATTTTATTGTTTTCGAGCTCAATAAATAAATGAATAAATAAATAAATGGTGACCACCTACCCCTCCCCTAAGTCACAATTTTGCACTAAGTGAAAAGTAGTGTTAATGTTAACTTAGGGAAGGGGTAGGTGGGCAGTTACCCAGAAACCCCTATTAATCAATCCAAAAAACTGCAAAAAATAATATCAAAGTAAACTAACCAAAAAAAGGGCGAAAAGTGAAAAACCACAATAAAAATCGATGGAAAGCGAAAACCCACAGAGCCTGGCAGTCAAACACGACAATCAAATCTTACAATAGTTTTTTAAATAATTTGCAGATGTTCATGCAAAGTAATGAACGGTGAATTGGTGGTACACATCGTGGTATTTACTTGAAGAGTTGTTGTTCTTGTTACCAACAATACGGTAACTAATACGGAAACCCCCAAAACATTTTTTCAAAAATAAAACCGAGAGCCATTATAGCTCTTGATAAAACTGAGTACACTAAAAAACCAAAAAAAAACCGCCGAAAGGGAATTCTCCTGTAAAACCATAAATTTGAAGAGGACGAATCCCGAAAAAAGCGCCAATATTAAGTCCCCCTTTTAATGAGGTAACAATTACTGATGTGACCCAATGATAATCTCAATATACACCAATGAATTTTAAAAGCTTGATTCTTTGAAACGCAAACTTGATACTTCGAAAAAAAAATCTTAATTCTTTTAAATGCAATCTTGATCTCCTGAAACGAAAACTTGATTACATTCGAAACAAAATAATCTTTGGAATACAAGTCAACATTAAACTTTATTTGCATATCGGTTCTGAATAGACCTTTCCGCGAGTTCAAATAGTTAGGAAAAATCCGTCGACAACACTGGAAAGAGCGTCTTAAAATTAGTAAAATTGTCAGCACCGCAAAGTCGCGAAATTTTGCAGACGTTTGTATGTTGTAGGAGGAGGGGGGGAGGGGGCATATTTGTGTCCCCCACCATACAAACGTCTGTAAAATTTCATGACTTTGCGGCGGTGCTATATCTTCGTCAGTTTTCAACAAATCACTATCAAACTTGGCAATTTTACTAATTTTAATTGAAAAAACCGTGAAAGGGTCTGTTGACTGTAACTTTAGAATCGCAACTGGGCGAAAAATTGCTTGAGACTACCGAGAACAACCAAGGCAAAATACACAGACCGAACCAGATCAGGAGAATGAAACAAGCTGAAAATTCATAAAAATTAGCTGCAAGTGAGCCACTGACTAATTGAATCTTACTCGCTCTTCTTCTACTCACACTATGAGCAAACACTAAATAAAATTTAGAATGCTTGAAGGTAGTTTAACACGTGTTATTAACGATACTTCAATTTGCTTCAGTTTCAGCAATAGCACAGGTTTACAATGATGAAGGTAGTGAAGCATACGACAAAAAAGACTACAGCAACGCCGTTTACTTTTACACTGAGGGGATTAAAGTGAATTGCAAGGACAAGGATCTGATGGCTGAACTGTACAGTAACAGAGCACATGCACACCTTTGTCTGGGTGAGGCTGTTTGTAATTTCCAGGGTTTAGTAGGTTGCGTACTTGTAGGACTTTCAATTAATTGATATCAGGTGATTTGCTTATTCAAAGCTTTCACTGTTGTTTTGATACAAAAGGAACATAACGTGTTGTTTGATCGATTGACTTGGCCTGCTGACAAGACAAGACAATATTTTATTTGAAGTCTTATACCAGCATGGTTCATCAACGTTTTCTAAATAATTCAAAATTACAAAATATACTAGTTATTCATTACACTACGACACCCGGGGGTGGGAGGGGGGGGTGGGGAAGGGGGGCATTCTCTATACATTGAAGCTCCGCCCGAAAGGGGTACCTTAGTATACGAAAGAGAGGGGAATTCACGAGTTAATTATATGGAAGGGTAGAAAAATCTATCTTTTGATTATTTCGAACAGGCACACGATATTTTAGGTGTTATTTTTCAATAGATGGTATATGACGGGGGAACCTTTTCTGTGAAAAATGATATATAAAAGCGTAAGGGGTTGGACCTCAGGGCAGAGTTTCCTCCCATGGAACTGTGTTGAGGGCTTTCCCAGGATGTTTTTTTTTTTTTCATACTTGCGAAAGCTATTTCGCATTAACCGATTGTATTTGCTTTAAATTATGATTGCCTTGCCGCACCTGTTGTGACTGTGTTTGGGTTTGTTTTTCCAATATTTTTTAAAGGAAATTACAGTGACTCACTTAAAGATGCAAAAGATGCCACTGACATACGGCCATCGTCACTCAAAGCGATAACAACAGGTGATTTTTATACCTACAATAGTCTCTTACGTTTACCTTGATAATGTCATTACGTTCAAATAGGAGAGTTCGCATTACCAGGACCTCTCGGAAGCACGACGCCCTTGTATATCGTAGTTTGACTATGCAAAGCGTTTTGAGGCCGAAATTTCAGGGTTCAGTATTAGGGTCAACGTGGTAGTGGTTGTGTCCATGTTTACGGTTGCCTGAAAAAGGGCATATGGCAATAAGCGTATAGTACATTTAGTAAGAGTATAGACTATGGATACGACGTGATGAGCCGCAAATTTATTTTTGTCTGTCTCCCGCGCGTGATTTTCCAAGAAAATTTGCCGCTGGGAAGTGGAGGTAATAACTGTCAATGTTATTGTAAAAAAAAAAAAAAAAAAAAGAATATTGTTGTCCGCGAGCGTTTGTTAGTTTCTTATCAGAAACTGCCAGGGATGGATACACCTGAGATGCCAGATTTGAAGAAACTTTGCTGTATGTTACAGTTTTACTGAATTATATATTTACATATTTCAGGAGCTAATGCCTCTTTGAAGATGAATATGTCTGAAAAGGTGATCGCGTGGTGTGAAAGAGGATTAGAAGTATCCTTATGTTCATACTTTTTAACTCCATTGTAAAAAGTTGTTTCAACGTGTTCATTATACGCATCATTCTACATTCCCGGTTAAAATTGTTGAAACGCTTGCGAATTTCTTCTCCCCTCTCCCGTTTTAAGACGTTTTATGTGCAAGCAAACCCGTGACACCAACATTAGAGGAAGGAGAAGGAAGCAATACGTATATTCGTGGGACGACTTATTTTATCTTGACTTTGCATTCGGGATCCTGAATTTTCCGCAAATGGACCGGCAACATCCCCACCAAACCGGCCTATGGTGTTTATCAAGTGAGGATAAAGGGGTCTCTCTGGTGTTTATATATCTCAACTGGTGAGATAAGCTAGGATCTGCACGTCAAAGGTGGACTTTGTTGATAGACTTCGCCCACTTTTTTCTACGTCTAAATCAACAACCTTGACAAACAACCTTGCCCAGTTGTTCGAATGCCGGTTAGCGCTAACCCGGGTTTCCTCTATCGGATAATTTTCTCTATTCTTTTTAGAGTATCCAATCACGAAATTGTAGGCAAAGAGAATTAAACTGAATTTGATTTTTAAGCTCTCATATTTGAGTTCAAATTTAGCACTAACCCTGGGTTATCTTAACCCAGCTTCGAACAACCCGGCCCAGCTTTTTAAAAATCCACTCTACTTCTCAAATCCTTGAAAAAATTATTCAAGCGCCATGGAGTTATCATCGATATGTATCAAACTACACTACAGGAGATGAGACTGGCACTTTTAAAATATGCGCACACTCTCTTTTATTATTTAATTGACGGGTGTGTTTAAATCGTTATTAAACGCATTAAAGTTTTTTTGGGTTGTTTTCCTACTCATATACCTTGTCCGTGACTGTGCTCACATTGTGGGGGGCTCCTCCTAAAATGTTCTACAATTGGTATAGGATTTGATGGAGCGCAACCAATTGTGAAATTGCACACCGTTTTTAGGCATCCTACAAGGACCCACAGGCTCCTGATCCTACTGAAGAACAGTTACGACTTTTAGATATTTCGAGCAACAACAATTTGCCGTCTGTCCTCTTTGAAATGTATTTTCCGGAAGTGTTTCAACAAATTATGGCCGGATTGTAGCCTTACGATCTAGGTTGCAAAAAGAACTGTGTTTTCTCGAATTTTTGGTTCATATGTGGAACTGAAAGCAGCGAAAAAGATAAAGGTCAATTCTCTAGACAGAGATGTGCATGCTTGTTATTGACTAACCTCTAATTTGAGTAAAGAAAGCATGGAGGAAGGCCAAGGTCAAGTCTAGTTTCATTGTTAAAACCTTAATAATTTTTTAAGATTGACAAGGAAAACAAAACCTTGCTGGAACTGAGGAAACAGGCGTTAACATGGGCAGAAAAAGAAAACAATCCTTTAGGGAATACAGTCATCGACCACAAGGTGACTTTCTTTAAAAAAAAACGTTTTTGTTTGATTATATGCCTGAACGTTATTCGTCTCGCTTACGTCACCGAAATGCATTGACCTAGAACAGACTAGGCAAAGAGAGCAACGAAGACAATCGATATATCAGTTGCTTTGGTATTTAGGTGCCAATGTAGCTTTGGGAATCTATTTCAAAAATTCCCTTGAAACTAAGTGATCACAATTTGGGCCCAAAACCCTTTCAAAGTTTTAGCCCCTGACTTTATGTTACTCCATGCTACACCTGAAAATTAAACTATTTTGTCAGCAATTTTAAGTTAAAAAAAATTAATAATAATAATAATAAAACAGTCGCAACTTGGGGCTTCAAGAATTTTTATGAATTAACAGTTAGCTACAGCTTGCATTATTCTTTCTCACCAGCTTTTTCATGTCACACACATATTCTCTAGAATGATCTCCATACGTTTCCGTAAAGAATTAGTTATAAGAATTTGATAAAAGATCTAAGCATTTCCCCTCTGGTGATTATTCAATTTATCAATTTTTATAACCTGTTGTCTTGATGAAGTATTGATAATGTTGAGAGAAAAAAATTTGCTTCCATTGCATAATAGACAATTTTTAATACTGTCGCAGGATGTTTTTAAAACGTTTTATAGAAATTAATTAAGATATTATTTAAATTTTCTAGTCTTTCCAAAAAAGCAAAAGCAAACAAGGACTGGACAGCAGCGCTTTCAAAGAGGATGGCATGGACAGTTATGACCTTGTAATCAAAGAATTGAAAAGAGGTGATTTTAGAGCAGCCCGGGATTATTTTGCGTTAGAATTCAAGCAGGCCAAAAAGAACAAAGAAAGAGATAGGGAATGCACAGCATGTACGAACCTTGGCACTGCTTATGTCTGTCTCGGAAAGTTCAAAAAAGTAATCGAATTCTTTCAGCGCGCTCTTGGTATCGCAGAAGAAACTGGAAACAAAAATTCAGAAGGAACAGCATATTTAAACCTTGGCAGTGCTTATGGCAGTCTCGGGCAGTTCCGAAAAGCAATCGAATTCTTTGAGCGGGCTCTTGGTATCGCAGAAGAGACTGGAAACAAAGATTCAGAAGGAAAAGCATATTTAAACCTTGGCAATGCTTATCGCTCTCTCGGGCAGTTCCAAAAACCAATCGAATTCTTTGAGCGGGCTCTTGGTATCTTTGAAGAGACTGGAAACAAAGATGCAGAAGGAACAGCATATTTAAACCTTGGCAGTGCTTATCACTTTCTCGGGCAGTTCCGAAAAGCAATCGAATTCCTTCAGCGGGCTCTTGGTATCTTTGAAGAGACTGGAAGCAAAGATTCAGAAGGAAAAGTATATTTAAACCTTGGCAATGCTTATCGCTCTCTCGGGCAGCCCCGAAAAGCAATCGAATTCCTTCAGCGGGCTCTTGGTATCTTTGAAGAGACTGGAAACAAAGATGCAGAAGGAACAGCATATTTAAACCTTGGCAGTGCTTATAACTCTCTCGGGCAGTTCCGAAAAGCAATCGAATTCCTTCAGCGGGCTCTTGGTATCTTTGAAGAGAC